GTGGGGCGACGCTGTGGGTGTAGGTTCAGTCCGAGTAGATGATGAAGCCGGAGAAGGTGCTGTACTTGATGTTGTTGCCGCCGTGGGCTTTGCCCCCGTCCAGCTCGATGAAGACCTCGTCCCCCGCGTCCAGGTGCAGGATGACGCTGTTGCTGGCGTAGTCGTAGTTCTGGTCGGCGTCCTGTGCGATGGCGCTGGCCCGCACCTGCGCAGGGGACACCCGCGTTACCCGGCTCAGGGCACGGCTCTGCCCTGGGTCCCACGGGACACCCAGGGTCCCGGCTCAGCCGCAGCCAGGGAGAGCGCCCGCCAGCTCCGGGGCAGCGTGTGGTGCCCTGACCCCACCCATGGGTGACACACCCCGGATGGAGGGGGCTGCCCCAGCACCGCCCGGAGCCTCTCCCTGGCCGGGCAGGCTCCGAGCTGGGGCCCTGGCGCTGGGTTTGGGTGTGGGGGCACTTCCCCCACATTTCCCCTGCCTAATTTTTGGGGATAGTTCTGCTGAGGTAACCAGAAACACTCCCACATCCCAGTGTAAGGTGACAGTACAAAATCAAGGAAACCGAGGTGCATCAGGAAAGAAACCACCACTTTTCCTACTGCTTGGTCTTTTCTCTCCTAGTTTGATTCCCCACTAGGTTTGGGGGTGTGTGTGTGCAGGAGGTTTGCCAGAGCGCCCCAAACCCTCCCTGGTTTGTGCTCATTATCGCTGTGCCCATCATCCACACTTTTAATGTTACTTCCCAAGTGATCTGAACTCTCTAAGTATATTTGCTCCTGGACATTTCCCAGGTTGCCTGGTTATCCTGTTGCACTTCAACGCTCGCCCTAGTCAGGGCAGGTAACTTAACTCCTCAGGGTTGCAGGAGATGCAATGCCCGTCCTAGGATCTGAAGAGGACACACCTTTTCCTGGCAAAGGGCAGGCTGAACCCATGGGCTGGGAAATAACGGTGATTAAGCACCACATCTCACGTCCGCTTTGCTCTGCTTTCCACAAACCTAATCATGTCAGAGGGAAAGAAAAGAAAAATCTCCACAAGCACGGCTAAACCTATTAAAGTGAGACACGGTGCCACACCCAGGAGGCAAATAAAATATAAACAGGCATCTGTGCTGTCATAAAAAAACCCTCTGTGCTATTTTGTGCATGACCTTTTATTCACTTCAATTACTGGAC